ATACCATTATTGTGAAATGTTGTCATCATTTTGGGGGCCACAGTTGATTCACAACTGGTTTTCTTTCATATAAACACTTGTTAGATGCACTTCACTTCCTTGGACCATTATTAGACACTTTTATCATGGGATGCATTTGTGTAAAAGATCTACCTCACCCTTGTGATGTTCATAGGGTGCATAGTTTTCATCGTAAAGGGCTGATTCTGACTATTCAGTGAGGGAATAACTGAGACCCTTATTACCTAATCACTCAATGCTTCATAAACTTTTCCTTAAACAATTTAAAAATATTCCACACCAGTTATTCTTTAACTGTTACATTACAAACTTGCCTACATTTGGCAAATTATTATGTAAGGACTTTTTTTAAAAATATACAGTTTGCATAAATTTTCATCACTGTAGAAAAAAATACTGTCAGTTTAACTATTAGAAAGTGTAAAGCTGTTTTTACACATGAACTGGAGCGCTGATCTGTTTTGGACATTCAAAGCAGAAAGTTTACGTGGCGTCCTATCGCACTGATGTGAGAATTGCGCAAGTGGTAGTGGTGTATAGCAACTCCTGCATGCTTTATCCAGACAGCACCCTCTCCTTACTTGCACAAAGCCTTTCCCATAATGAGAACACATCTGAAAGAGGCTCTCTTATGTACTGCATCAGCATTTTGCAACTTAAAGCAACATGCAGAGTTCATGTATGAAAAATGGCTTACAGCATTTATGTCAGTCTTTTTTTTTTTTGTCCTTGTCACTAATTAAGATAACTGTTATTACAGTGCATTTCTGTTGCACTAACTACCTGTCCATTTGACACTGTTTTGTTTCCACTTCTTTAAAATTGCTTCTATACCTGCTGCTTCAAATATGTGACATTCTTACCAAATATACCAATCTTTTAGAAAATATTAAAAAAATTGGAATATTTGTGCACGTTTCACCAATAATAAAAACGTGTTACAGTCAATTACTGTAGCCCATTTGAATGTGAAGTGCTTTTTTTGACATGCTTTTATTTATTTTGACTTTGTTCTATATTTGAATGAATGTACATCAATTTGACATCAAATAAAGTTTCCAAAACAATGTTTTACACAAAGACGAAACTTGAAAGTTTACTCATTAACTACCTGTGACTGTTTTTGTTTTTATTTTTAAGGAACATCTTTTCTGTAATTTTATTCTGTTAAACAAATTCAGTTTAAATGCGAATAAACACATGTGCTTAAAAGCTCGTCTTACATCTTTCAGCTGCTAAAGATTTATTTCATGTCTAGATAAGTTTTGCAGAGATGTGAAGGTAAGCTAACTACAAAGTAATTTGAGTGACCGATGATGTTCAGACTGAACACTATCCCACCTCTGTGATCCAAGAATAGACCAGGCAGAAAGACTTGCACTGCTCTAAGATTAAGAGACCCTTCTGAGTCCACCCGGTCTGCTGCAGGGCAAGAAACGTTTTCTAGCATTTTATTCGCCGTGCTTATTAGAGCGCCAAGCAGTACGAAATCGGACCCTGACGTTTTGGTGTTTACGTCGTTAAAGGTCACGTGACTGTGAGAGCTGAGGCAGGGAAATGGAGAGCAGCTGACAGCACATGGACTAAAATGCTTCTATTTTTCCATTGTGCAGAGGTTGTTGGAATTCTTCAGCGGGCCTGGCTTACCTTATATGGAGGACCTGCATTTCATTTCTGAATTACAGTGAGGTGCAACTTTGATCCAGACAGCGCTCTGTCATTCAGATGAATAATCTCAGGCAATACGTTATGATACTTTTTGAGTGGGTAAGCTTTTGGCTGAAATGCATTCTTAGAAGGATTTTGGATGCTTTTCCAATAGTCAACAACTGGATAGCGTCCTCAGCTGTCACAGACAGGGCATTATGCCAAACAGACTCAGAGGAATGGAAGACTAATGAAGCGCTCCGCACATATCTCCTTGGAGATGGTGATGAAACCAAGGTTACAGTCCAAACCAGCCCACATGCCTTTCTTGTGAGTATTAAGCAAAGTGTGAGATTTCCAGTCATACTGGTTAACAAAAGGCCGTTTAAAAAACTTGGTTTAATAATTTATTTCAAAGGTGAACCTACAAAGACTTTCAGAGTGCAGTGAGTACTTCCGAGCTTTGTCCCAGTCCAGCATGAGAGAGACCTCTGAGAGCCTCATCCACATGGATCACGTGTCCTCTTCCATCTTCCGCAATCTGCTTGAGTTTTCCTTCAATAATAATTTCAAAGTTCCCCAAAATGAGTTGGGAGCACATATAAAGGTACAGCTTCATATATAAACCTCCTTGGCTAGTAATTCAAATTCCTAGGAGTGACATCATGATTTCTTATATTTCTCTTTCTGTCTCTGGAGGTAAGCAACTATCTTCTAGCAGATGCCTTCCTCTCAAAGTGCCTGTCAGTCCTGACAGATGAGCTCAGCCCATCTAACTGTTTGTCATACCTGAGTCTTGCTCATGAGATCTTTTGTGTGGAACTCAAGATGACAGTACTGACTTACTTGAGTAGAAACCTGCTGGAGCTCCCAGACATCATCAGGTAAGCAAAGTTTCAATTCCCCAATTTTAAATGTTTGTCTTTCACTAAAATCGATTTATACCTCAGGTGCCTGAATGAAGAGGAGAGGGAAGAAGCTGTCCACTTGAGGACTCGAGGAGACCGACACCTCTGCACCCTACGGAAAGAGAACCTGAGTTCTTGGAAGGATCCAGAAACAGAACATGCACGACACATATTCACCCTGCAAGGATCAGAGGACAGTAGAGATTGGTGTCCAGTTACAGAGCTTCCCTTTCGGGCTGATAAGTGGTGTATTACAACAGTGGTGCTTTACAACTACTTGTATGTCATAGGAGGTTACAGGGAGCGTATGAAGAGAGGCTGGGAGTTCAGCATGGCTTCCTTTCGATACAATCCCTTTACTCATACGTGGGTCACCACATCTCCTCTGATAAAAGTAAGCAGTCTCCCAGTTTGAGTCTCAAGCGGGTGGCCAGTCTGCCTGTTTGTCTTAACCCCAGCGAATTCCTCTTGCCTTGTCTTTTTCCATCGTTTATATAACACTAATGAAAAGTGTCGCCATCTGTCATATCCACAGCACAGAAGGCACTTCAGTGCAGTGGCCTGTGAAGGCTGTATTTACGCAGTGGGAGGCTGGTACTTGGACTCTCTAGTAACTCCAGACTCCAGCACAGCTCTCTACACAGCTGTAGAGTGCTATGACCCATGGAAAGATAAGTGGAGGTTTGTTTCCTCTTTGTTAGTTCAAAACAGCTAACAGCTTTCTGCAGCACTTGATGCTTTCTAATTGTTTCTCTTCCAAAAAAAAAAGCTTCCTTTAGTTATTGGTATAATCTCTGCCTCAGGTTTGTGTCCTCATTGCCACTCACTGACTTCCAGTTCACCATGTCTTTGTCCCATGATGTTCCTCTTGCTACGACCCTTGGACAGTGTATCTATGTGCTGGGGAGCATCCAGAGGACTGGAGAGAAGTTGTTACTGCAGTACAACACAAAGAAAGGTGCATACATCTGGAAAAAAGCAACCAAGCTCAGCAAAAGAAACCTGGTTTTATTTCCAGCACAGAAAGCTCACTCTTATGTGTGCTGCTGTCTGGAAAATGCCTTCGGTATAGTTCACCGGCTCTAGATTTATATTTACAAGCTGTACACTGATTCATAAATGGTTCTTTTGAATTCTTTCTTTATCTGTTAGATGTATGGTCTGAACTGCTTCCCACCCTTACCAGAGCCAGCGTAGATCTCCCTACACTTTACTTCCTGGGGGCCACGGACAGGCTGCTTGTGATTGGTGGCAACAACTCAGAGAATGTGGTAACCTCGTTCTGTGCGGAGTCACAGAAATGGGGGCCGGTAAACAATCAACAAACCCACACTCATATTAGAAGAGCACTGGATTATCTGGATGCCTAAATAACATATTCATTCAAAGTAATTTTTCACTCCATTTAAAATGTTGATAATGTTCTTTTTTCCCCAGGTTTACAGCGCTGAGAAAGTGGCATTTGCAGGTCAGGGGACAGTGGCTGGTGATCAAATCCTAATGATGCCAAGTGTTGAGCACAACACTGTTGTTAGCATGGACCTCCAAACACTCTCCCTCAAAGCTTTCCCTCCTCTACCCATCTTCACTCGCTATGAAGCTACCTTTTATCTTCATTTCTAATGCTATGGTTAGCATCTTTGCACACATATGTTGTGTGCAGGTTCTTTTGGGCTGAATGTAGTTTGCAATAGCCCAAGTACTTCTAGATCACTTCCCAGTCCTTATGTTGTCCAGTGTTCATATTTCCTAAAATGTAAGACCAGTTTACCCCGCTATGTTGAATGTTTGATTTGTTTACATTAAAATAATGCAGTATATACAATGCAATACCTTTCTTGCCTTGATTAACACCTTCAAGTCCTACTAACCATCACCACCTTGCCATCACCAGTGTGTGAATGTGTGTGTGAATGGGTGGATGACTGGATATGTAAAGCGCTTTGGGGTCCTTAGGGACTAGTAAGGCGCTACATAAATACAGGCCATTTACCATTTTAACCATTCTCATCGGTGTCAAATATAAAACTGGTATTACAGTGTTTTATTTATTTATTTATTGGTGCCATAGCAGAGATGTACTTCTAAGTAGGTGAAATGTCACATGGCTCTCTGTTACTTCTCAACACAGCGCTACAGCGGATTCAGTTACGTAGCCAGTTAGGCTCTGTCTCTGTTTGGTGTCTTGTTACAATGACATGGGAGAGAGAGAGAGAGAGAGAGAGAAACCGAGGATGGTGGTGGGGAGGTGTGTAAAGCACAGGAAAGGACAAACTTGACCACAACCTGACGAAAGCCACTCCAAGGGCACAGAGCACATAAGCCTGAGCTCAGAAGAAATTCATTGCCTCACTGACACAAACCAAAGTCATAGCTTTCCTTTGCTCCATTGGTTTAGGCTCACACTGCCCTAAAAAGGTAAAGTTATTTTTGCTCATTTCTGCATGTTTGCTTCTTTTTTTTTTCTGATTGCTTCTAAGTGTAAAGCTAAAATTTTGCTTGGGCATTAAAATTGGAATATTATAAGAGGGTTTTCAATAATAGACAAAAATCTTTAGATATCTGCAAGATTTTGAAATTTTTCTATAATAACAAAGCTGCAGAGCTTTTCTAAATCTTAAATTATACCAGTAGGTTTGCACACATTTGCGTGTTCTATTCTGTGTTTATATTTCCATGCCCGTCTGCGGATTGCACACATGCTCAGCCGGTGTACCACTATATCTGGCCACTGAACTTTGTCCCACTTGGTGACTGTTCAGTCATATGACATGGAAAAAGAAATACTAGACCTGCTGCCCCCAACCATTATATGGACTGCTATGGGAAGTCCTGATATTTTTGTTAAGAATTAAGGAAGGTCATCGTATTTCTCAGACAAAGACTGAACCCTTTCAACCTTCAGTGTATTTATTTTGCATTTAGACACCTGTTAAACTTCTGCCAGTGACCCACCTTATCACATTATGAGCAAACAGGACAAATAGAGCCGCTTTCTTTAAAACTGCTGTCAGTCACATCTGTGAAAGATTGTTTTTTTTTCTTGAGGTTAACTGTGGTATGATCAGCCTATTTGTTTGTATAACAACAGTTAATGAAATACCCAATGTTTAGTCAAACCTGGGCATGGCCCAATGGGGAAAGAAATGAGGGAAATGAGGAGGGAGTTCAGTGGCAAGTGCTGAAAATCAGTCTGTAAGTCTCTCAGTGACGACCTTTCAATGGACTAGTAATAAGTAGGCATGATTCAAAATTGGGATCTTTACAGATATAGCTTATTTTTTCTGTGGAAAATAATTTAGAGTGTGTTATCACCATGAAGTCGTAAATCTCTGAAACCTTTAACAACCACTATTCAGATTTTCATTTTTTACCTGGCATCCAGTGGTTAAGACAGGTGCCAACACCCTCTAGGCCTGTGTGGGACTTTAAACAACAAAAGGTATGCATTTTGGACATTAAGATCTTGGTAGGACAAACATTTGTAGCTGTCATTAAAAAAACCCCCAAAAAAACAAAAACATTTTAGTGGATAAACTATTAGTTAAGGCATTACATCACCAGTAGGAGTATTTTACATTTTTTAAATGATTTTATGGTGTGGTTTTTGCTGATTTATTTATTTATTTTTAAATTTTCCTTCTTTATTTTTCTTCTTTTATTTTTTTTTTAATTGTTTGGGAGTGTTTTACTTCCTACCAACGTCTCCCCAATAGCCCCTTTTAAAAACAGGGACAGCTGGCCAGCAAAACAGTTGAGGGTCGTAGTTCTAAGTACAGTAATTTTTATATTCATTTTCAGTTATACTGGGTAAGAAACTTAATGGATGGATGGATGAATGGATGGATACATTTTATTGTAAATAAATTTGTTTTCTGGGCACCACTTTGGTCTCTGTAACCCTGAATGAATTAACATTAATTTTACTATGTGTATTTTTTATTAGGAGATATTATAAAATATTATAGACCACTGTATATATTTTTTTTAAAATGTAATAACTTCTCAATGCTGTTCATGTTAGCAGAACACAGAGATGGCTGAGGCACATCAGGCGGTAGGCTTCCAGTTCACTGTGCGCCCAGATGGTGTGGACTTTAAACTGAGCCAAGAAGTCATCAAAAATATCTACCTATCAGGAGTGACAGCATGGAAGAAGAAAGCCATTCAATTCAAGGTACAAAAACTGGCACTTAATATGGTAATATCCAAACTGAAAGGAGAGACCTTTTGTTACTAACCAATAGTGGTATTTTATATCCACAGAATGGTGTATTGGCAGGAGTCTACCCTGCCAGTCCCTCCAGTTGGCTAATAGTTGTAATTGCCATGATGAGCTCTTTATATATTCACATAGACCTGTCTCTGGGAATGATGGATACCATCAAGGAAAACCTACCATATCGGTCAGTAATCCCACAAAGCCCAGTTTTGAAGTATTTCACTTGACCTTTAGACTTTACTGGACAAGCGATGCGGTTATTTTGAGTCATTTATCTGTTTTTATGTCGTTATTGACAAAGGCGGTGTTTTGCATTTTCTGAGCAGAGACTGTATGTCAGTACAGACACGAGCAGTGCTGAGTGCCATCCTGTTTGCCACAGGACTGTGGCTGTTCCTCATCTACCTCCTGAGATACACTCTTAAAGCTCTTCTGTCCTATCATGGATGGATTTTTGAGTCCCATGGAAAAATGAGTACATCAACTAAAGTGTGGCTGGTATGTTCGTCTCACTTTCATTCATGGCATGACTCTCATTTCATTTGGGACTTTTTGGTTCTGTCATTAAAGAGAAGGGATCTTCACTGATTTTTTTCTTTTTCTGTTTGTTTTTTTGTTACCAGTGCCTGGTAAAGATGTTTTCTGGACGCAGACCCTTGCTCTACAGTTTCCAGGCCTCCTTACCCAGGCTTCCTGTGCCCAGTGTGGATGATACAATTCACAGGGTATGTAGTTACAGTAATGGATTTGCATGATCAGAAACACATATCTTATTTGTGCTCCCATAGTTTTCTAAAAACATAGAAACGTGGTCTGGACATCATTACAAGTAGTTGAGATTTTTATGCACGGAAGCTTTTAGTTATTGTTGTTCCATCAGTTCCTGAATCTAAACTCACACTGAACTCAATCTACACCAGCTGAAGTTCTTGTCAATCATTCAGTCGATATACAAAAACCTATTAGACTAACCAAGCACAGGTATAAAAAATACTACCTATGCTGCTCCAGCAGCCTTCCTGCACCCTGCTCAAATTGTGTACAGTTTTTCAGTAGGTTTTTGGGAAGAACTTGGCACGTCCTCTTGCAGAAAAGCTGTCTTGGATGTCTTCCAGAATTTCTGGTCATACCTTTCACCTGATATGTCAATGTTTTGTTAATTAAATTAAATTACATTTTATTTATACAGCACCAAATCACACCAACAGTTGCCTCAAGGCACTTTATATTGTAAGGTGGGGCCCTACAATAATACGTACAGAGAGAACCCCAACAATCAAATGACCCCCTGAGCAAGCACTTTGGCAACATTGGGAAGGAAAAACTCAGTTTTAACAGGAAGAAACCTCCAGCAGAACCATAGAGGGGTGCTGCGACCAGTTGGGGAGAGAGAAGGAAGACAGGATAAAAGACATGCTGTGGAAGAGAGATAGAGATTAATAACAATTAATGATTCAATGTAGAGAGGTCTATTAACACATAGTGAGTGAGAAATGTAACTGAAGAAGAAATACTCAGTGCATCATGGGAATCCCCCAGCAGCCTACACCTATTGCAGCATAACTAAGAGAGGATTCAGGACCACCCGACCCAGCCCTAACTATATGCTTTAGCAAAAAGGAAAGTTTTAAGCTTAATCTTAAAAGTAAAGGTAGTGTCTGTCTCCCGAATCCAAACTGAAAGCGTGTTCAACAGAGGAAGGGGCCTGAAAACTGAAGGCCCCCATTCTACTTTTAAATACTTTAGGAACAACAAGTAGTCCGATAGCAAAGTGCTCTAATGGGTTGATATGGTACTATAAGGTCATTAAGATAAGATGGGGCCTGATTATTTAAGACCTTTATGTGAGGAGCAGGATTTTGAATTCAGTTCTGGATTTAACAGGAAGCCAATGAAGGGAAGCCAATACAGGAGAAATATGCTCTCTCTTTCTAGTCCCTGTCAGTCTTGCTGCAGCATTTTGGATTAATTGAAGGCTTTTCAGGGAGTTTTTAGGACTTCCTGATAGTAAAAAGTAGTCCAGCCTAGGAGTAATAAATGCATGAACTAGTTTTTCTGCATCACTCCGAGACAGGATATTTCTAATTTTAGAGATGTTAAGCAAATAGAAGAAATTTTGTTACGTGACGTCTGCTTCTATGTAACACTACTCCCTGTGTATGATATTCTTTTCACAGTACCTTGAGTCAGTTCGACCTCTGCTGGACAATGAGCAGTACAATAAAATGGAGCTTTTGGCCAGTGATTTTAAAGAAAACAAAGCAGCCCAACTGCAGAGATGCCTAATCTTAAAATCATGGTGGGCAACAAATTATGTGAGTAGTGTTTTCTGTCATGCTACTGAAATTGTCTTGAATTGTAATGATAGACAATAAAAACCTGTAATTTTCTCCAGGTAAGTGACTGGTGGGAGGAGTACATTTACCTCAGGGGCAGGAGTCCTATCATGGTCAACAGTAACTTCTATATAATGGTATGTAAAACTGTCAGTACATCAGTTGAGCGTTTTTTCATTTTTCTATTAGTAATGGGAATGAGGTAATAATTTATTTTAAATAATTTAAACACGTCATCTTTAACTTTTCAAATAAATGTGTCTGTTATCTGTGTTTGTTCTCTGTTTTGTGTTGTCACTTTGTTGTATTTGGTCATTCCATTTATTGTGTGAAGGACCTCTTGTACGTGACCCCAACACACCGTCAGGCTGCAAGAGCAGGAAATGTGGTACATGCCATGTTGCAATACAGACGCAAACTGGAACGTGGTGAACTTGCACCGGTATAGCTTGCCATTACAATTACTCTTTTCTCTCGTTTTATTGCAAGGTTAAACTCTGTGTTGACTTCTATTTAACTTTTTCTGCTCAGCTGAGGGCTTTGGGGACTGTTCCTATGTGTTCTACTCAGATGGAGAGGATGTTTAACACCACTCGCATCCCTGGCATTGAAACAGGTGAGCAAATGTTTAGGTCTGTACTGTATGAGTGCTCAATCATCAGTCACAGATAAGATACTTCCCATTGTCCAGTATGCAGCACTAGTGGGTACATCTCTATTAATGATTTCACAGCAAATAGGTTCCATCACTCTCTAAAGCTACTGGGACATATCTTTGATGCTGTGCTTTCAGTAAGTCACTGTGTGTAACTTAAATTAAATCAAATCTTTTACTGGCTTAACAATCTTTACAGATTTTGTGCAGCACCTGACTGATCGGAAACACCTGGTTGTCTTCCACAAGGGTCGGTTCTTCCAGGTGTGGCTTTACACTGGAGGCCGTCACCTTTTGCCCAGTGAACTTGAAACACAGTTTCAAAGGATTCTCAATGATACATCAGAACCTCAACCAGGAGAGCTCAAACTAGCTGCCCTGACAGCAGGATACAGGTATATACAAACAAAAAACACCTTAAAAAAGCAGGTAAGCAGGTTAAATGTTCAAACACTTTCAGCAGAAAAGGGAAACGGTCTCACTCTCACCCTTAGGGTTCCATGGGCTCAGGCTCGGATAAAATATTTTAGCCAAGGCATAAACAAAGTATCCCTGGATGCAATCGAGTCAGCTGCCTTCTTCCTGACATTGGATGATGAGCCGCAGGGTTACGATCCTGCAAAGACCAACTCACTTGATAGCTACACCAAGTCCCTGCTGCATGGAAAATGTTATGACAGGTAGGCAAAGAAGACCAAGCCTTTTATTGACTTTGACCAAACTGATTCCCTAAAAGAAGTTGGGGTTTTTCTTGCAGGTGGTTTGACAAATCTTTTACATTGATCTCTTATCCAAATGGAAAAATGGGTGTAAATGTTGAACATTCTTGGGCTGATGCACCAATTGTAGGACACATGTGGGAGGTAGGAAAAGTGTTCTGAAAATATCCTAAAATAATGATTCAAAGAATGCAAATTTCTTCAGCTGCATTTTTTTTTCTTTTTAGTATATTCTAGCAACAGACTGCTTCCATCTTGGATACACTGAGGAGGGACACTGTAAAGGGGATGTGAACAAAAACCTGCCTCATCCCACTCGACTACAATGGCAGATTCCAAATGAGGTATAGAAAAATTTGTATTTATTTCTTATATCCAGTATTGTTTTTAGTTTTTTCTTTTAATTTAATGGTGTTTTAGATCTGTACACAAACTAATTAGGATATTCTTTTACCCTCTCTAAGTGCCAAAATGTCATTGAAACGTCATACCTCTCAGCCAAGCAGATAGCTGATGATGTGGACTTCCATGGCTATCTGTTTGCTGAGTTTGGAAAAGGCCTGATCAAGAAGTGCAGAACAAGCCCTGATGCCTTTATTCAGCTGGCCTTGCAGCTGGCCCAGTTTAGGGTAGGCCTGCCATAGTTCATAGAATCACTGACATTTCTTTAAATGTATCTACAACCATCAACTAATAGATAACTCTTTGCTTTATAGGACCAGCGTGTGTTCTGTCTGACGTACGAATCATCGATGACACGTATGTTCAGAGATGGGCGGACAGAGACAGTGCGCTCCTGCACTTCTGAGGCGGTTGCATTCGTCAGAGCCATGGAGGACGCTGGTGCGACGGTAGGCAAAACAAATAACCATGTCCACAACAAATAAAAAGGTCATGACATCATTCAGCTGCTCGACAGGTGTGTATAAAGAGAATCACAGGTCAAAGGCATTTTAATGGAGAAGTTTTTAATAAAAATAGACAACAACTTTGGACTTAATGTGGTTTATAATGTTTATCTTGTAGTCACGGGACATTCATGTACTCAGTTTTAGATTTTCCGATGGGTCACATTGTTAAAGAACATGTTGTTCTACTAAGACCATGGTGACCAAGACCTAGAGGTAATGTGTGTCAGTGCCCTGGACTTTAAGCTCTTGGATGTTCTGACAGGGTCAAGCTGGTACTTTCCTTCATTGATAAAGAAATCTAAAAATTATTTAAATGCAGTTTTTATTTATTTATTTAGAAATATTAGAAACTACATTGCCTGTTGTTTATGTTGTCAGAATGCCCAGAGACTTGCCCTGTTTCGGAAAGCAGCAGAAAAGCACCAAAACATGTATCGTCTGGCCATGACTGGTTCTGGGATCGATCGTCACCTTTTCTGTCTCTATATAGTATCTAAATACCTTGGTGTTGACTCACCATTTCTTACTAAGGTTAGCACTATTATCTATCATGTGTTTTTAATGTGTTTTTGTTTTATAATGCTCTTTTCCAAACTAAATTCACTGTCTTTGCGTAATGCTTAAAGGTGCTTTCGGAGCCCTGGAAGTTGTCCACCAGTCAGACTCCACAGCAGCAGCTCAATTTAGTTGACATCAACAAGTTCCCGAAATATGTGTGTGGTGGGGGTGGATTTGGCCCTGTGAGTTAATTTGATGCAATATGAACATGTGCAAAAAGTTACAGTCATAGCTTTCTTACCTGCTGGCCTGATCAAGGAGGGCTATGTGAAATGTAACAGCGTCTCTTTGTTATCTTAGGTAGCTGACGATGGTTACGGTGTGTCTTATATCATTGTTGGGGAAAACCTCATCACATTCCACATCTCCAGCAAGTTCTCCAGTCCTGACACAGTAAGACAGAAAAAACAGCACTGCATACTATAGATCCAACTCTTCCTGTTTTTATCTCTTGCTCTGATTGTTCCTTCTCTGTCTGACCTGCAGGACTCATATCGGTTTGGTCAGCATATTCAAAAGGCCATGCTTGACATCCAAGCTCTCTTCAAGCCTGAAAATGATAAGACAGCACAGAATGCAAAGTATGTCCATCTGGAAAATGGGAAAAAGCACATATAACAGAGAGTGTGGCAGGGTAGGTTGGATGTGGAGCACATACAACCTGTGACTCAGTCTTCATTCATAAAAATAAAACAAGGCTCTGGTGACAGGTTGGGCTGCTGTGGTGAGTCTCAGCTTGGCATTCCTCTCAGACAAAAACAATATTTATTACACATCTATGTTTTTCCTGTTTATATTCAGGGATAAAGAAATGTATTTCTTTTTACACAATAGTTCCTCACATACACATACCACCCTCACTGTATATAAATCCAATGTAATGTAAATAAAGCTACAATATGTATTTATTCATGATCTTATGAAAGCTGTAAATATATCTGCCAATGTGTTCTTGTATTTGCAGATCTAAATTATTTGTTACGTGCCTGTATTTAAGAATTTGCTGTTGATTTTAAGGCGGCTGTCATTAGTGATTAAAAATATAACACACTAAATGCAACTAATGCATAACTAGTGCAGTCATCATCAGTGATTTCTGTGGCACTGCTGTGGAAGATTGGAAAATTCAGTTTGAAATGATTACATCAGCTGTGTGTGTGTATAGATAGACAGATATATGACATAGTGTAGGGACTGAAAGAGGCATGACAGAGCAGCAATGCACTGACAGGTCTTAGTGAGAGCTGTGGGAAATTTGCTGTCAAAATTAGGAGATTGTGTTCAGGAGAGTGAATTGTCTCCTTAAACTCTTGTGCAAGCATTGCTCCATGAATACAAATCAATAGAAAATAGTTCATCATACTGGTAAATTTGTGGATGACATACAGTATTGTGCAAAAGTCTTAAACCAGCCCTAATTTCTTTATATTTGGCTTCCAAGGACCCAGGTGTATTTGTAATTACTTTAAGTAGTCTTGAGCTCCGAAAGATTTCTGAAGATCATTCAAAGTTTTTCTGTGGACACTGGCTGCTTTTTCACTATGTTTCTGTTTTGTTTTTTTTGTTTTTTTT